CTGTGCAGTTCAGGCTGGCCTTGAGCTTACTTTGTAGCCCAGGCTGGTCTCAAACTTGCAACAATCCTCCTGCCTCAGCCTCCCGAGGGCTGGGATTACAGACGTGTGCCACCTCGCCCAGCTTATATAATTACTCTTTAGATTTCAAAATTAAGTTTCTTGTTTCCATATATGGAGTAGTTTTTTCTCTTTTCTTTTGTTCTTTTGGCCATCCTAGAGATTAAACACAGGGCTTCAGGATTAAACTAAACTACATAACCAGCCCCTTTTCTTAATTTTTCTGTTCATTTTCTTTGTTTTTGGTTTTTTTTTTTCCAGTACTGGGAGTCAAACTCACGACCTCGCACTTGCCAGGCAGGTGCTGTGCTTCTGAGCTAAATCCCCAGCCCCAATTTTTCTATTTAGAGACAGGATCTTGCTAAGTTTCCCAGGAGGGACTTAAACTTGTAATCCTCCTGCCAGCTTCCCAGAGTTCTGGGGTTCCAGGTGTGTGTCACCATGCCCAGCCTAAGTTACTTTTTACAAAGCTAATTCTGAAGATTTTGCCCTTAGAGTACTGCAGGCCGATAGGACATGGGTAATGCCCGTGTTCGTGGTGAGGCTGTCAGCCATTCGTTACTGAGTACTTTATACCTAAGGACCCCTGAGGCTGGCCCTTCTCTGCGCTCAGTGTCTGCAACAAGTTTCCCATAAGCTGCCACCTGCTTTTGATGGGCTGTGGGATTAGCTCAACCCACTAAAACCCCCGCTCGCCTTGCCTGCTAGGAGGCTCAGAACAAAACTGCAGTGTGGACATCTTTGCTGTTGAGTTTTGCTTTTCAGTGTTTTTCCTAAGAACAGCCTCAGACGCTCCCTAGAGGAGCAGAGGTTTCACTGAGATCTGCTCTTGCTGAAGTGGATCAAGGAGGATATTAACCAGATGTGAGCATCTGACCTTCCAGTCCCTGACGCGTGATCCCTATGGTTCTGGGCTATGTATGTCCAGGGTGTGTGTGTGTGTGTGTGTGTGTGTGTGTGTGCGCGTGCGTGCAAGACTAATCATTTCTGATCAGTGATTAAAAAAAAAAGTTTCACTACTGACCTTTGTAACTATGAAGCTTTCTACACTTGACCTGAACTCAGAACTGAAAAACTAGAACACAGGAGCAGAGGTATGAGGATCGCACGGGGGCCTCTGGGTGAAGGCAGGGAAGGGCAGAGGAGAGTGCAGTTCCCAACTAGAGGCGGACGGGAGGCAGGGTACGCAGCTGAGAAAAGACGACCCAGCCCTAGAATGCCCTGCGGGCCCACAGCTGGCCCCAGGGAGGTTCCTGAGCAGCAACGGGACAGGGCAGCCGGATGGCCCAGGCAGCGCTGGCTCCGCCTTCTCTCTGCCCGGACCCCACAGGTTCGGCCCCTACTATACGGAGCCGGTCATCGCTGGGCTGGACCCCAAGACCTTCAAGCCCTTCATCTGCTCCCTGGACCTCATCGGCTGCCCCATGGTGACTGACGACTTCGTTGTCAGCGGCACCTGCTCGGAGCAGATGTACGGGATGTGCGAGTCCCTGTGGGAGCCCAACATGGTGAGCCGCCGGCGTGGAGGCAGTGGGGCGCCCGGCACGGCTTCCTGCGGCCTCCCGCTGCTGAGTCCCCACATCCGCCAGGGCGCGGCCCTGCAGCAGCAGGTCTGGGTTGGAAGCCTGGTCCATTTGGCGCTTAGTTCATGCGAGGCACTGTACCTCATGGGCCACTGTCAGCTCAGCTGTGGAGAGGGCTCCTGGGGGACCCACACCGAGCTCCGCCATGGAAGGTGGCTGCGCTAGCACAGGCCGGCTCTGCAGAGCTCTGCTGGGATGGGCGGGGGGCGGAGCCTGAGCAAAGGCACCGGAAGGGCAGGCCTGCTGGAGGCGGGGTGCGGGGTGCGGTGTGGCTGCACGCGCAGCATGGTGGGACTTCAGCAGGCCTCGAGTGCCACGCTGGGGAGTCTGAGTGCTTCCTTTCGTGAGGCAGAGGCCCACAGCCGGTGACGGGTGTCCCCTGCAGCAGGCTTTGAGGCCCCGGGTGAAGACAGTGGCCGTCGGAACAGGAGGGCGGCCGGTCAGAGGACCTGGGCCCTTCAGCCCCAGGTGCAGGAGGTGGAAGCACGGGAACCGCGCGTGTCCCGCTCAGCCGCCAAGGCAGGGGCAGCAGGCGTGGGGCCGCCGTCAGGCAGGTTGGGGTTTCTGGCGTGCGGGCAGTCTCCTGGGCCAAGGTTCTGTGAGAGGACATGCCGTGCTCACCAGGGTCGCGCTGCCGGCTGGCAGGAGGCGCGGGCTCGGACCCTGCACGTGGTCCCGCTCCTTCCGAGGAAGTGGCCCTGCACGTGTCCAGCCTCCGGAAAATGTCTCTTGTACCCGGCACCCAGGGCCAGGGCTGGGGACCTAGGGCCCCAAGAGCAGGGTGCGGGGGCGGCCGAGCGGGCCGCAAGCCTGTGCTGCGTTGCAGGACCCGGAGCACCTGTTCGAGACCATCTCCCAAGCCATGCTGAACGCCGTGGACCGCGACGCCGTGTCGGGCATGGGTGTTGTCGTCCACGTCATGTGAGTAGGGGGGCAGGACGGACCTGGAGCTGGCACTCATGGTGAACCCCACCCCCCTGGTGGCACCTGGGACCCCACCCGGGCCCCCAGGCTGCCAGGAGTGGCTCTCCGCGCCCCGCCCCCCTTGCTGCACTGGGTTCGGGGACCAAGTGCCATCCCTGGCCAGCCCTCTGCTGGCGCTGTCACCGGAACCTGACCGGGTGAGCAGGTGTCCTCCCCGCCTTCCCCACACCGGAGCCAGTGTCCGGGCCTGTCCGTCACAACACCGCTTACCACGAAGAACACAGCTGACCGGCCCGGCCCCTTAGGCCCCTGGGCGACACGGCTGCGCACACGTCCCAAACTGGCTGTGGAGCCCCGGCCTCGTGCCGCCTGTTTAGATCTGGGGGTCCCTTTCCTTCGTGGGGGCATCTCAATGTAGCCCTGAGCCATTTTCTGGGAGAGGCTCCCCTAGGTGGCCGCAGAGGCGCCCAGGGCTGCGGCGGGAGGCGGGGCGCGGTCACAGGCAGCAGTCTCAGTGGCTCTGTCTCCCTGTGATTGTGTCTGCAGTGAGAAGGACAAGATCACCACCAGGACCCTGAAGGCCCGGATGGACTAGGACTGTTCAGGGAACTTCGTTTTCTTTTTCTTTTTTTTTAATAAAGTAGCCTTTCATTCCTGCTGAGGTCTTTGGTGTTCTCCCACAGCGCTCGCCCCCGGCCAGACAAAGGCCAGCGCACCCTGTCCGCCAGCCCGAGGGTTTTCTCCTCCGCCCGAGGCTGACCTGACGGCGCCGTGCCCTCCGGGACTGAGCCCTGGGCCCAGCATGGAGACGGCCTACCAGAGACAAAGGGCCGTTCCACTGCCCCTCCAAGGCCACTTTGGGTTCGGGTCTGCCAGGATGCCAACCCCTTCCCTTGGCACTGAAGCCCCATTTCCCTACACTGCCAAGAACTGAGACTTCTGTTGCTGTGTCAGGCAGAAACGGGCCCAGCGCCAGGCACACTGCTCAGCCCTGCGCACCCCTGCCGCCTCCTGCGGCCAGCAGCGCTCCCGTGCCTCCGCCCCATCTCCACATGAGACTTCTTGACCTTTTGGGGGTTTTCCTGTCTGTAGCCCCCTCAGTGAGTCCGGCTTTCGACCTCAGTAGACACCCCAGTAAGGAAGGGGGCTGTTGGTGCAATGTTCCCCAATATTAGCCTCCCCAGAATCTCCTAGAGCGCACGCTCCGACACGTGCCTTTGATTTGGGGGAGGGTGCTGGGGATTGGACCCAGGGCCTCCTGTCATGCTGGGCAGGCTCTCTCACTGGAGTCATCCCACACTGGTCTCTGGCTCCAGTGATCCTCCTGCCTCAGTGCAGTGCTGGGATGTGCGTCCTACCATGCCACTCTTTCTGTGTGTGGCACTGAGCTACCTCCCCAGCCCTTCTTATTTTGAGACAGGCTCTTGCTAAGTTGCCCAGACGGGGTTTGACGTTGCCATTCTCCTGCCTCAGCCTCCTGAGTGCCGGCTTACAGGCGTGTGACTGACTTGAGACGATCTGGGTGAGCCCTGGGGTGCTAATGATGCTGAGGACCAGATTTTCACCTGGCATCACCTGACGGAGGATGGGAGGTTCGCAGAGGCACTGTGTTGTGGTCGGGTTTGGTGCCGGGTGCTGGTTCCTTGCTGAGCTGCCTTCTGAGCTGGGGGTGGGGAGAGTGGGCGGCCCCACTGCACCCTCTCCACTTCTCCCTGCACTGACCCCACGGAGTCTGCACCCCCGTCCTCCAGACACAGGCCCCAGGGTGACTGCCCAAGCTGCCTCCCCAGCTGAGGCCAAAACCTTCTGAGCAAGGGGCGGGCGCGCTGCCAAAGCATCACACAGCGGTGTACACAAAGCTTCCTACGGTTTATTTCCCTCGGGTTGGAGAGGCATCTTAACACGCATGCAGTTTAGAACAGGAACGGGGTCTCCAAGTGTTGAGAGCAGACATTAGACAAGCACAGGGGCTGAAAATTCCTATGTAAAAATGGAACTTGGGGAGAAACAGAGGCCACACGTGTGGTGAGTGGTGGCTTCGTGTGCCCCAGGTGATCCGACCGACCCTGTGTGAGGGGTCTGAGCGGCTCAGGCTCCCTGAAGGCTGTGGCACGTCAGGACAGATCTGCTTTTAGGAGAGTCCTCCCCAGCCTCCCTCCCGTCTCCGTGCACCCTGTGGAGACGCCCGAGTGGCTGTCTCCACCCCCTGGGGACACACTTGCTGTGTGGTGCATCTACGGGAGCCGGGCCCCGTCCTCGTGTGGGTGGCGGGTGGGCTGGGGGTGCTATCCGGACGTGTTTCTCTTTGGGGATCCCCTCCCTACACTGCTGCCATGAAGAGAGATGGTCTCAAGACTTAGAGGAGCCCCAGGTCGGGGGCCTGAGCTCTGAGGGTCCCTCTGGCACCCACATTCAAGCAGCTCAAATGCTGGGGCTGCTGACATCTATCTTGCTCCAACCGGAGCCGCTCAGAAGACATTGGGGTGGGACTGGCTACTGAGAAAGGCCTGGGTCTTTGGCCCCCCCTCTCGGGCGGCCCTGGCCAGTTGAGAGGGCCTTAAGCACAGGGAGGGGAAGGTGAAGCCGGGGAGAAGAGGAAGAGCTGCCCGTGGTGGGGAGGCAGGTGCCACTCACGGTGCCGGCCACAGACCAGTAACCCTGAGCTAGATGAGGACAGCGCTGCCCCGGAACCCCGCCACAGGGCACAGGGAAGGAGCTCGCGTGGGGATGCAGAGACCAGCGGTTTAGTATCCAGAAGTCGGACTGTGCCACCAGCCAGGGGTGTGCGGGGGGCTGGGGGACAGGAGTTTCCCAGCTGTAGACTGCAGAAGGACAGAGGGATGTAGACACAAGAAGTTAGGACCGGATGCTCCCTGTTAGTGGCAAAATGAGGGTCCAGGAGCAGAACCTGCCCTCGTCCCCACCTAGGCCTCGGCCCCCAGCTGCGTCCTTATTCTTACACTTCTGTTCCTGGGAGAGCCCAAAGGATTCTGGGATGACCAGGAAGGACCTGGCAGGATTTGGGGAGAAAGAAGGAGCCATAAACGTGGGGATCAGTTCACTTTCAGACTGCAAGCCAAACGGAACATCTTTATCATTACAAAACGAGAGAAAGAAAACTTGTATAAATCAAGATAAATAGCTTTTGAACATCCAAATCAGAGCCAAAAAGAATTAGAGGGCCCGACCCAAGGTTTTGAAGAGAGCACAAAGAATGACCTTTAAAAAACCTAAAATCCACCAAACCACAGCTCAAATGTCTCGACCGACCCACAACACTGTTAGGGAAACAGAAAGAGCCAGAATGCTACCTCTCAGAATGTAAACAAGATACAGAACATACGCGAAACTCCATGTTAGACAAGCCAGATACCTGGTAGTCGCGTAACTGGCAGGACACGTGGCGCCCGGGACACCGCACGGCAGCGTGATGGGGGCCGGAGGCAGCGAGGCCGCTGGGGGATGCGGCCTTCCGAGCCGAGGCGGGGCCGCGGAGAGCAGATCCACAATTTCACTCTTGATTGCAGGTGGGGAAATCCAGTCCAAATACGATTCCTTCGTGATTCCTTCCCGACGTCCCAACTCTTCTCCATGGGGCACGTGGTTCCAGGCGCTCCTGCGGGCCTCGCTCAGAGCCACCTCTGTCCTTCCTGGAGCCGGGCTGTGGTCCCTTCGCCCTTCCAGGGAGGGGCTCCCCCAGTCCCGCAGTGCAGTGAGGTCCCTGGCACCTAGGCCCAGGCAGGCAGAAGCCCCAGGAAACCTTGTGTTCCTTGCAGTGCTCCACAAGCCAACTTCACACCTCCGAGTCACCTACCAGTGTCACCCTCTCTGGCGCCAAGCCCCCAGTTTCTGGTGTGGGGCTGGGAAGATGTCACTTGTCCTTCTGAGTGGACTGGCTGCTCCGATGGCAGCGGGACACACGGGGCTCTTCTGGGGGCGGGGCTCTAAGAATGGGAACCCTGAAGGGGCTGCAGGATGCTGCGTCCCCCGTGTCTCCCGGGGGACGGGGCTGAGCAGGTCCGACCCCGCATCAGGCCTCCCGGGTGGCCTTCCCGGTCCCATCCTCAAGCAACTCCGAAGTGCCCCAGGCTTGTCCGAGGTGGGGGCTCGCAGCTCTTGGAGCCGGTCCAGTGGGAAACGGCTGACGGGCGGGCCTGGGCCAGGGTGAGACGGTCTGCAAGGAGCACCCAGTGCTCAGAGCGCCGGCCTGGGGCACAGGCCCGCCACGGGTCACGAGGAGGGGGAACGGGTTTGCACAAATCCGCATCTGACAGGATCCGTTTCTGGGGTTGCCAAAGGGACGGCATTGGGACACCAGCGTCCCTGCGGTGGGAGGGGCTCTCCAGTCCTCCGGAGCGGGTGGCAGGCAGGCTCGATGGCGAGGATGTCCCCGTGCCAGGGCCAGCGATCTGAGAGTGGACGATCCCCACCCCCGAGGTCTCCGCCTCTGGGGAGGACAGCACTGGCGGAAGGTGGTGGAGTCAAAAGAAACGTTTCACCTGGATCCTGAGCGGGCAGGTGAAGTTACCCACAATACTCCATGAAATCAAGTCAGTCTGGACACCTGGGGAGGCGGCGGGCCGAGGTGGCTGAAGGGGCCTGTAGGTGACAGGAAGGGAAGGAGGGCGGGGGCGGGGCGGGTGGCCGGTAATGACTCGGATCATGATTGACAGCAAACCTGGAGCGGCGTTTCAGAATCAACCCAAACAAGCCCGCCAGTCACCTCCAGCCCCAAGGTGTCTTGAAAGGTGACCTGGTATCAAAATGGGGGGTCCCGGGTTAGCAGAAGGTAGGGACACTGGGTGCGTGCACGTGGCCGCCCCTCCTCGGCGTCACAGGCCACAGTCTCGCCTCGAGAGCCCCAGCACCCGCTGCTCCACCCTCCCTGCACCCCGCACCCTCGCCCTCCCCGGCCCCTGCGCGCGGGCTCTGACCCACGTCTAAGGGAACTACGTCAGGATGTTGGACATGAACTCGTTGAAGCGCTTGGAGTACTGCTCAGGGTTCACAGTCGAGATCTCAGCCCCCGCCTGCAAGACAAAGCGGGGAGAGGGGTCAGCACCCCGTGCGCTAGGGGTGGGAGGCTGCTCCGGGAGGAACCTGACTCTTGGGAGCCTCTTGGGGGCCAGAGCCACCAGGAAGTGGCCCGAGGGGTCAGAACTTCCTGCCCACTCCCCTGTGCGCAGGTCCAGCCCGCACTGAGGCGGCGGGGAGGCCCCGGCTCTCTGGGGAGGACCCCACGTGGAGGACAGCAGCTTCCGCTGTGGGGGCCGTGCCCACGGGAGCATGCGGGCTGTGGACAGCTCTTCCCGCACTCAGCCAGAGGCACAGCTTGCCCGAAGGGCCAAAATCCAGGAGAAAACATCGCGTCGCCCCAGCCTGGGGGGGACCCCAGGCAGGCGTACAGCAGGGAGCGGGGACCCCAGGCAGGAGTGGAGGCCGCCTGCCCCGCCGCGGGGACGGGAGCTCACCCCGTGCTTCACCGTTTTGGCAGCGTGCGCGGCTTTCTTCTTCGTGTCGTAGGGCGTGAGGATGTCGATGATGGCCATGAAGTAGACCTCCTTCTTGGGGCCGCCTGCGGGGCGAGAGGAGCCGGCGGGGAGGAAGAGGCGGCAGGGGACGGCAGAGCGCCAGGGCCTGCCGTGTCGGGTTCGGGTAACTGCTGACGGGCAGCACCACGAAGGACCAGCATGTCCAGCTTTTCTTTTCTTCATGCCGTGCTGTATACAGAACCCCGGGCCTTCGCCCTGAGCTCCAGCCGCAGCCTCCTGCCTCAGCCTCCCAGAGTGCTGGGACGACAGGTGTGCACCGCCAGGCCTGACTACGCTCCTACCTCAGCTGATCTTCCCAGCCAGCCTGTGAGGCTGGAAGAACAGAACAGACAGGGTCTGGCTATACTGGGACCAGGGCAGAACCTGCCTCAGTGGGCACCTGAGGAGTGGACCTGAGTGCAGGGGCAGCGACCAGGGAGCTGGGCAGCCGCAGCAGGCGAAGGGGTGGCGCGCACGCCTACTTACTCTCGTGGCTCTTCATGGCATAGACGTCAACGGAGGGGTCGAACTCCCCCGGCCCGAAGAAGCGGGGGCAGCTGAGCAGGTTGCCGGGGCTGTCGGGCGGCGTCCCATAGGAGCAGAGCAGGCCACCGGCACCGTCGTTGTCACACTCCTCATCCTCTGCGCGCTCCTCCACCTCCACCTCCTCCTGCTCGGCACGGTCCACGTCGTGGATGCCCACCAGCAGGCTGTAGTCCATGATCTTCAGCTGCGCCAGGAACTGGGCCAAGGGTGGAGACGGCAGGAGAGGAGGTTACAAGACATCTCGGGCCCGCGTTCCTGTCCATTAGCTCTGCCCCTGCTGCCTGAGACGGGACAGGGAGGACGACATAACCTCTGCCACGGGACTGCAGCATCTAGCAGGGAGGCAGGCAGGACGCTGGCCAGGCAGGGTGAGGACCCTGAGGATGGAAGGAGCCGGCGGGGCCAAGGCTGTGGGACTGGACGGGACGGGATGGGACGCAGGGAGGAGGCCCCCGGCAGGAGCAGCAGCAGCCCAGGTGGCTTAGGACACCTGAGGCCTCGGTGGGTTCCTGCAAAGCGAGGGTGGCGCCCTGCCCTGCGAAGAGGCACAGCAGGCTTTGGGACTGTGACTCCAGGGGTCCCAAACCCATGCAGTGGCTGGGGCGAGCACGAGACCGGGACAGCAGTGTGCCCCACACGCAGCAGGGCAGCGCGTGCCTCCGGGGGTTGTGCGCCTGGTGGCTGTGGGGCAGAAGGCACTAACAGAGTCCTCGGCAGCAGCAGAACTGGCACCTCAGCCTCATTACCACCCGAGGTAGAAATGGAGAGAAAGCAAGAGACTGGCAGCCGGAGCCCAGCCGCATCCTCGCCCTTCCCTGGAGCCGAGTCAGGCTGCGCCCTGCCCGCCCTGTGTGTGAGGACGCCGTCTGAGGGCAGAAGGTGTCTCGGCCTTCCCCAGGACAGCGGGGTGAAGGTCGGATGGGCCCTGGCAATGACCGGGAGGGGCTGCCAGCTGGCACCCCAGTGCGGCTCAGAGTCCCGCCGCCAGGAACCACATCCAGGCTTCCATCCCCGGTCACAGGCGGTGCTGCAGCGCCAGGAAAGCGCAGGAGCAGCCACGTGCTGGGGACTGGGAGGAGCCCGTCCGGCACAGGACCCGGGCGCTGCCGGCCCCAACACCGCAAGCACAGGGGCCCCGAGGCTGCGATCGCAAGGTCTCCCAAGGCCAGGGACAGAGGCCGGCTCTCAGCAGGATGAGGTCCAGGACGCCCACCCCCTGCCACCCCAGGGACGATCCAGGGCAACACACACAGGGAACAGAAGAACGGGTGCATCACCCAGAATTCACCCAGGACCCCGCTCGGGCAGAGAAGGGAGGAGATGCTGAGTACGGCGTGGAAAGGGTGGAGGGGAGACCAAGTCTCCCGGCCAGAGGCGATCTCTACGGCCACGCTGCTGGCACACGCCTGAGGTCCCAGCTGCACGAGGCAGGGGGCAGAGGGGTCACAAGTCCGAAAACAGCCTGGGCACCTGAGCCCTGTTTCAAATTTAAATTACGCAGGGCAGGGGTGGGGTGGCTAAGGGTAGAGTGTGGGGTTCACTCTCCAGTACGTAAGGAAGAAATAAATTCAAATAAACGCTGGACAGAGGTGAACCTCGATGTCCCCTGCCAGGAGCAAAGAGGGCATCACAAAAGGAGCTACAGCGCCTGTGTCCACTCGGACCGAAGTCCTGCTGAAGCGTGTTTCAGAGACAGGGCGACAGTGCTGCTGGCCAGGGGCTCGGGGGAGCTGTTTAATGGTGACCGTTTCGCTCAGAAAGATGAAAAACCTCAGAGACGGAGGTTGCTGACAGTTGCGTAAGGAGTGAATATACTTAATACCACCAACTGTACCCTTAAAGTGACAAGTATTAGCCGGGCATGGTGGTGCACACTTGTGATCCCAGCCCTCGGCAGGCTGGGGCACTAGGAGCACTGCAAGTTTGAGGCCAGCCTGGGCCACCAAGTAAGTTCAAGGCCAGCCTGAACTGCATAGCGAGACCCTGTCTGAAACTACCCCACAAAAAGGCCAAGTGACAGGTATTATTACCCAGATAGCCCTTGACTTACAATGTGGTTACGGCCCTCTGAACCCCTCAAGGGTGCGAAACATCCTCATGCACTGAACACACCACGGCCAAGCTATCGAGCCAGCCCTGCGGGCACAGCTCTCGCGGCCTGCAGGCGGACTCATCGAAAGCGGCCTGGCTTGTGGACTCCACTGGGGAGGCCCAGCAGCACTGGTCAAGCAAATCACAAAATTCAGGTAAGCGGGTTTCACTTTTCACCACTGTGAAGCTGAAAACTGTGAGCCAGACCATCGGAAGTTGAGGCCCGCGATGACTGCACTCATCTGCTACCGCTGTTAAAAGCCAGGCCAGGGGCCGGGGATTTAGCTCAGCGGCACAGCGCCTGCCTGGCAAGCTCAAGGTCGTGAGTTCGATTCTCGGTACCAGAAAACAAACAAACAAACAAAAAAATAAAAGCCAGGCCACCTCAAGAGGAACTGCCCTAAGAGGCCCCCTGGGCCATGCCCTGAATGCAAAAGTGACCACTGGAGATCAGTCTGCCCTCTGAAGCGGAGGCCCCAGAGCTCAGACCCATCCTACCAGCTAGTCCAACAGGAATGAGAGGGCCCAGGGCATACTCTGCCTTCTCCCTCTGGCCAGACCGTCATCTCCATGGAGGAGCCCTGGGTAATCATGACTATGGAGGAACAGAAAACAGCCTGTTCCTAGACACAGGTGCAAGTCTCTCGGTCCTTCTTTTCAATCCTGGCCTTCCTTCCAGCCATCACACCTCAGTGAAAGGAGTCACTGGTGAGGAGGTAATATGCTATTTTTCACAACCCTTAGGCTGTAACTACTTGTTAGATCCTTCCTGCGTATCTCTGTCTTCCTGAGAAACCACTTTGAAGATACCACCATGTATTACAGCAGCCATTGGTATTTTCCTACTGATCTGTCCATAACTCTGTAATAATGTGTGTATTGTTCCTATGCTATTTCGTAAATGGATGTATGTTTATTGTTACGTGTTTCCTACAACAACCATTGAGAATAGTTAATGATTATTCAATTGGTCACTCATGTATAGCTCTATTTATTTTCTTTAGAAGCCACTTTGAAGATACCAAAGTATAGTACAACAACTATTGATAATCTCCTACCTCTTTTGTCTGTAACTCACTATTATTTGTCTATTTGTTTTCCTGAGAAACTGTCTTGTAGATAACAATATGTAAAACAATAACCATTGATAATTTCCTACCACTTTGTCTGTAATTTGGTAAGCCCCCCTACTACTATGTCATCCTTCTTCTACTCTTTAAAATAAAAAAAAAAAAAAAGGTGAGGCTCGTCTGTGTTTACCACAGTAAAAACAGTGCCAGGGGCAGGGTGCCACACACCTTCATCCCAACACTCTGGGAAGCTGAAGCAGGAAGATCCCATGCTCCAGCCCAGCCTTACAATTCAGCAAGACTGTCTCAGAATTTAAAAATGTAAGAAGGACATGTACAGGTATAGATTCTATATGGTAAACGTTATCATTATGTATTACCTAAACTGCACCAATAAAATTAATTTTACATAAGAATAAATTATCCCTATGTAAAATAAAGTTCCTTATAAAAGATAAAGGATAAATTATTTATAAAAGGAAAAATATATATATATATATGGATAAAAGGCTGGTGATGTAGCTCAGAGCAAAAGTCCTGGGTTCAATCCCCAATACTATCAAAAAAGCATTCTAAACGGTTGGTAGTGTTTGGCTTTTAATGCGCAGGCTCCCAATTTACTAAAGCAGAAGCTTGGGGACGTGCCGCAGCGCAGCGCTGGCGCACTCACAAAGCATGTGCAAGGCCCTGGGTGCAGTGCCCAGCTCCACTCAAGAGGGAAGAGCAACAGAGGAAGGCAGAGGCAGGAGACAGCGTCCCGGCCGGGCGAGGACATCTTCAGGGGAGCCCTCGCCTCGGGGAGCCCCGCCGCCCGCAGGCAGCTGGTTCCCGACCTCTGAGGCAATGGTGGCAACGCAGCACGAGAAGGGGTGCTGGACGGTGTCAGGATGGACTGACAGGGAGGCGGGGAAAGCACTCACACTGGTCACAGGCCTCCCCAAGGGTGGTGGAGGCCCTGCTCTGGGCGCCCGGGCAGGGCGAGGACAGGTCGGTACCTCCACATCCCGCTTCAGCTTCTCCAGGAAGTTCTTCTTGCTCTCCTCTCCCACGTGCAGCTTTTGCCCCTCGTTGAGGAAGTCATTGTCTTTGAACGTGGGCAAGTCCTTGGCCTGGGAGAGGGACGGCCGCGTTAGGGCGGGCAGGCTGACAACGAAGGCTGTGACAGGAGGGGACGAGCCCAGCCCGTTCCAGGGAGCCCCAGAGCCCATGGGCCCCAGCAAGGGTGCAAACACACGCCATGTGTCTGAAGGGAGGCCTGGCGAGGGGCTCCGAGCCTCCGCCGGGGCGCAGACAGCTACTACCTCACAGGACTGGACGGGGACAAGGGATCTGTCTCCCCCGGCAGGGCCAGGACGAAGCCCAGGCTGGAGGCCCACACGCGGGCCAAAGGCGACAGGCTATGCATCTGGGGCTGGGCAAGGGGCTGACGAGGGGGAGGGACAGGACACACAGAAGGTTCTGACCCGAGCGACCCTTCCACATGCACCACACCAGCGTACCTTCTCCTTGTCACTCGCTTCCCTGGCGACTGTAGAGCCCTGCAAGGACAAGAGCCATGAGGAGACGTCGAAGGCAGGTGAGCAGAGGGGCGGTCAGCGGCACAGAGGAGCAGGGCGGCAACCTGTCCACCGCGCTGGCACAGCCACTCCCAGCCCTGACTGCACAAGGGACAGGCCGGTGCTCACAAACAGGATGTGCTGCAGGGAGCCCTGCGTCCCTGCCCTTGCCCAGAGACCTTCCCTCTTCCTCTTCTTTTTCCTTCCTGGCTTTTTGAGACTGGGTCTTGCTATGTAGCCCAGGCTGGCCTCAAACTCACGGTGATCCTCCTGCCTCAGCCTCCCAAGTGCTGGGACTGCAGCTATGCACCAGCCTGGGACCTTCCTTCCGACAGAGACGCAGATAGGAAGCAGTGGCTACAGCACTGTAACTCACTCCCAGCGACGGCGCTTCAGGTGCAGGGCGTGAGGCAAAGGGAGCAGGCCTGGGCAGCACTCAGAATGCAGGGAGGGGACCCTCGGGTGAGGCAGGGCCAGGAGGGCACAGGTGCTGTAGGGACACGGAGGGGACCACGGGTCTGAGCAGAGGGAGGGGACTGCAGCAGCGGGAGGTGACAGACTTCGGGATCCACGGGCCCAGGCACAGCACCTGTGCTGTCGCTCCACAGGCCTGGCCAGATGCCAAGGTGCGTGCGTCAGCAGGGCCTGTCCCTGTCCCACTGCCCCGGGGGCACACACCCACAGGCAGCTAGACAGCTGCGACTGTCACCTGTGGGGGCACTTAGGGCTTCAAGAAGCTCTCCTCACAACCACCTGGACTTTAAACACCTCGGGGCCGCGCGACCTCAGTGTGTCAACTCCAGAGTCGCCGTCCACGGCCACACACGCCCCCGGCTCTCCACCAGGCACGGAGCTGGGAGGGGGCCGTTACCTTGAGGTCGTACTTGCGGTGGACAGTGAGCCGGTGGCTGAACACGTTCCTGGTGACCACCATGTAGGTCTCCACGCCGTCCACGGTCAGGCGGTACATCCCCAGGAACTGCGGCAGAAGCGTGTTGCCGTGACACTCCACGATGAACTGGAAGGGAAGGCGGGAGGGGAGGGCTGCGGACCCCCGTGGCAGGGACCAGGGGCTCTCCCGGGGACCGCACCTTTGGGTCTGTGGCGCTGCGAATGGCCTGCGAGGTAACAGGCTCCCAGGGCATGCACGCAAGGCGGTGAGCGAGCCGGCATGCCGAGCCCCAGGGCCACGCAGGACAGCCACCAGGCCTGCACTGGGGTCCCCTCTGACCCCGCGGAAGGACAGCCATGCCCCGTGCTTCTGCACAACCCAGGACTGGAGGCTCCTGTCACCACTGCTCAAGCGGCCCCACCGTCTCCTCTGCTGTGCTGGAAGCAGCCGTCCGTCCTCACAGACGTGGGGAGCCGGGTGTGGGGTGGGGGCCCCCTCCCCAGCAGTCGCCGCCTGCTCACGGGCGGCCGCCCACACCCCTGGAGCCCCGCCCGCCGCCCGCGCCACTCACCATACCTGGTGGTACCTCTTTAGGATGTTGTGCATCTCGGCCACGTCCTCGCTGGACACGGTCTTGATGACGAAGCGCCTGTCGTAGGTGGTGAGGAAACGTGTGCCGCACCGGCCCTGGCTGTCACTGTTGATGGGGGCGCTGCGCGTCACCGAGTTCTGAGGGACCGGACGAAAGCAGCGCTGGCTGCAGCACGGCCACCGCCAGCCAGGACGCCCCGCAGACCCACGCCGCCCGCCCTCTGGGGCTCGCGGCCCTCCTCGAGGCCTCTCCAGGTACCCGGAGCTGCTCCTGAGACCGCCCACTCCCCCGACAGCGCGCAAGTGGGCTCGCCGCGACCCTTCCTCTGTTCCGACCCCAGAGAGCACCGCACAGACTTCGGAGCCGGGCTCTGAGCCTGGCCCCCCAGCCAGGGCCCTTCCGACCCTGGGCGCAGTCACTGCCCTGCCCGCGGGTCCCCATCTGTAGCTCAGGGGCGGACGGACTGGGCTTTCCCACATCCGTCTCCGGGCGGCACAGACCACGCTCAGCAAGAGGACACAGCCCCACCGTCCCCGTGCGGGTGGGCGCGAGCAAGCCCTCCCAAAGCAGGGGTGGGCCCGTCTCCAGCTGTGGCCCCCGTGCCCTGCTGCCCCCGCTCCTCCTCAAGCAGGTAGTGAAGGGGCCGGAGGATGAGGGCAAGTATTCACCCAGCAGACATCTGGGAGACCGCAGGCCCGCCACCCCAAACACCGCGTCACAAGGATCTGCTCAGAGAAATGCCAGGCCTCGCCTCATCTCTGACTGGGGAGGCTATTCTCGTTTACTTAAGGTGGGGTCGCACTGTGTGGCCTGTGCTGGCCTACTGGCCTCGGACCTCAGAGCCTCCCGGCTCAGCTTCCTGAGTGCTAGAATGACAGGCGCACACTACACACCCAGCCCAGGTTCCACCCCCTTCCGTCAAGCTGTGGAAGGATGGCGCAGGCTTCAAGGGGAGCTACGTCTGAAGTGGGGAGGGGCTCTGGGCCTCCCTCAGCAAGGGAGGGGTGCCCTGAAAGCAGAGCTGCTGGGGGGCCAGGTCCCCTCTCCTTGCCTGTTCCTCCTGTCCCACCTTCACACCCTAAGCCACTGACAGCCCACACAGGGCTCCCAGGCTCCTCCCTGAGCACTGGCCTCAACGCCCTCCTTTCCGGCTTGGGCAGTCGGGTGCTCTCAAGGCGGTTAGGGGTAGAGAGGACGTGGTGGGGCGGCCCTCGGGGGGGCTGGAAGGACCAGGCTGTGCCTCTGGCATCCCTCCTTTCACCCCTTGCTCTCCTGCTCAGGGTACTATGTCTGCCCAGCCCCTACTCAGGACCACAGGTCAGCGATGCCCTCACTGGCACAGCTCCACCACCTCGCCCCAGCCTGTGCCAGGGAGGAAGCCCAGGAGGACGAGGTGGAGCCAGAGGCCACATGTTGAGTCCCTCTCGCCCGGCCTGGCATCCCTGCTATCGGGACTCACTCCTCCCCGTGCTCCGCGGGCCTCAAGGACGGTCACCCCTGCAGAGGGCAGCTGCCCCGCCGTGCCTGCCCACCCCCGCCAGCAGGATGGGGACGGGTGCAGGAGGCGCCCTCATACCTGGTGAGAAGTTACACTACCCTCGAAGTCTTCCTTGTCTACTCTGTCTTATCTGCTTTAAGAGGCCTCATCTTGCTGGCCACCATCCTCTCGCTTAAGTCAAACTACGGAGGAGAGGGTTCTTCGGCCTAGACTGGGGGCGCGACTGAGATGAAGCAGCTACCACGCACCACACCGGCCCTCCCTGCCGTGTCCCACCCTGGGGCAGGGACCCACCGGCCTGGGGACGGACTGCCAGGCGGGGCTAGAGTGACAGGGCGGAGAGACGCAAGGCCGGGACAGCAACACCTTTTCCTCTCCTGTCCTGTGGCTTCCTGGGGCCGCCCCAGCCTGCGCCCTCCGGCGCTGGCGCCACAGCCTACCTGGTAGTCCTGGTCGTCGATGGCGAAGCGCTCACGGAGGTTGCGGAACACCATGGGGCAGTACTCCTTGAACTTGAAGCGGCTGGGGAGGTTCTCCCTGGGAGCAGCGGAGAGGAGGCTGGTGCCTGCCTGCCCTCCAGCAGCTCCCTACCCGGAGCCCATCTGCTCTTTTCTGGGCTTTCCTTTTCTCTGTGCACGCTAGGTCAGTGCTGGGCCATGGAGCAGCATCGCCAGTGAAATGGCCCGGGGTGCCCCTCCGCTTGCGTCCCTCCTGCCTCAGCCTCCTTAGGCAGGAGCCGCTGAGCTATATACCCAGCCCGTCAGCCTCCTCAGGCCCGGGAGTGCAGGTGTGCATCACTGTGCCCGGCTTGCTCCCCATCTACACAGAGCAGTGAAGGCAGAGCTTCACCACGGGCCCCGGGCTGCCTCTCTTCTTGCTGGCCGCCCAGGCTAGCCTCCAACTCGCAGCACCCCTCCTGCCTCAGCCAGGATTACAGGCAGAGCCACCGCGCCTGGCTACGAAGCCATGTCTGAAAGGGAGCTTCCTCTAGACCAGCAGTCCAGGAAGGTGGAGACGAGTTGGAGACTGCAGGACCATGGGGTGGGGACCGAGGGGCCGTGTACAGGCCTGCCCGGACGGGCTGCGGGAGCACAGCAACAGGCAGCCCGCACGCAACAGTCTAGAGGCCCCGGGGACAGAAATGGGGACGGCGACCTGGGTGGCATCCAAGAGCGCCACGCTCAGCCTGCTGCTCTGACGCTGGCTGGGGAGTGAAGGGCTGGGCTGCACCCAAGGCAGGAACACGGCCACTTCCTGCGGCAGCCCGAGACCAGGTCACTGGCCCAGCCACACGCCCCAGGAACACCGCAGGGCATGGATAAAAGGCAGTCACAAGACAATGCGGGGACAGGCACAGAGAAATGCGCCCGCAGCCCGTCTGTCAGCCCGTGTGCCAGGTGTCACTGTCCCACCCTGCCGGCTGGGTCGGCCCGCTCCTGAGCCCAGGCGGGAGGTCACTTACTTGTTGAAGAGATGATTGTCCACCTTGATCTTGCTGTAGGCTTTGAAGTCATCTGGCATGAGCATGACAGGGACAGGGACATTGCTCAGCTCATTGATCTGCAAAGCGAGGGGACGGGGAGATTAGCGGCCAGGACAGTGTGCTATGACGCAGAGGCTGCCGGCGCTCACCAGTGCCACGTCCCTCCCTGGCTATTGCTGCCCTGGGAAAGAGTCCCGGCTGCATCACCTCGCCTCGCCAGGGCTGGCTCGAAGGGCGCCTCCTCCAGAAAGCCCTTCGTTCTTTTGCTATCTCACAGCCCAGGGCGCTGAGGTAGCTAAAGCGCCCCACACCTTGCAGCGTGTGGCACCACGGGCCCTGTGGCCAGCACTCAGTAATTATCTGTCAGACGTAGTCCACGATGGACTGACTGCTGCCCTCCGACCTAGGTGTGCATTGGCTAGAGCTTTCAAGGATCTTCGTGCAGATCGAGGGTCCCACAAGCATCAGCTCCAGGCTGGGAAAACCGGCTGGCTCGTGTGGCGAAGTGGCACCTTCCAAGCAAAGGACTGCACGGAAGGCACACGGGAGAGGCACGCACCATCCCCGGCTCACCGGGGCCACTGAAATCAAAACAGCGAGGACACAAAAGGGGGGACATTTGGTAGGGGCCTTGCCTCTGCCAACCGTGGAGCTGGCTTCCCCCTGGGCTGGGATGCCACTCTCCCATCCCATTTAGCCAATTAGCGGTCTAATTAGCCACAGCTGTCCTCCCCCGGTGCCGCCCAGGGTTTGACACTTGACCCTCGCCCGGCTGCCGCTAATGCATGCAGGAGTCAGAGGAAACTCACGGTCCTGACTTAATGGACCGGCGGGGGGCAGAGCCCAGTGTCTCCCAGATGCTTTGCTTACAAACCCTGCTATCTAATGAGGCCCGGGGCGGCAGGGAGGGGACAACCCGCAGCCATTAGACTCCCTCCCGGAGCACACATGGGGAAATGGCATTTAATTTGCTGCCCCTTTTAGGTCCTGACCCTTTTTATTTTAGCAGTACAGGAAGTTCTCATGTGCCAAGAGACCGGAGCCACAGCGTGGGGATCTGGGGAGAGGCCGCACATGTGTGGGGACACAGACCGCGGGGAGTGCAGCCCATGCAACCCCACCTCTGCACGAGTCTTGGTGGGGGATCACACAGAAGAGGCTGCCTGTGAGGGCTGGGGTGCAGGGTAGAAAGGGCCCTGACTCGCTGACACTAGGCAATCTATTGCCTGGGGTGACAGTTATGTGGGTAACATAGTTGTCAAACTGTGTTAAACATCTGTGCACGTGTTTTTGTTTTTTTGGCAGTACAGAGATTGAACACAGGGCCTTTGCACTGGGCTGTATCCCCAGACCTCTTTTTAAAGTTTTTTTTTTTTTTTTTGGTACTGGGAATTGAACTCAGGACCTTGTGCTTGCCAGAAAGGCGCTGTGTGGCGGAGCTACCGCCTCAGCCCTGAAGTTCTTTATTTGCAATCCTCCTGCCTCAGCCCCCCAGAGTACTGGTATCGGGTATGCGTCCCATGCCCAGCAAAATGTGTTCATTTTACTGTCCATAAAGACGTCCTCAACACTGCCAAATCTGTGCCTACAGAAGAAACCACTGCGCTTCCCTATTTTGCTGCCAACAGAAATAATTCATGGTAGTGATCCCACTTCCTTTTTCCTGGCATCTTGAGCCCAGCTCTGAGGTTCAAGGGGAAGCAAGACAAAGAGGGTCAGGGCTCTTTTCCTGGCTCACCCCACGAGCTAGAAAGAACACACCCCTGGCTCCAAGAGCAGCTCACACAACACAAACGCCACCACGTCTGCTACACATGGACTCTGGCTTAGCCCAAGACCCAAGCTCAGGGCCAAGGCCACAGCCTAACCCTGGGACAACTGGAAAAAAAACAACAATCCCCTCATGGGAGGCCTCCCAGCCCCTACCCAAGGCGACTCAGTCTGACAGCAGCTGTCTGGGCAGGTTGTGTTTATTCATTTCTGCTGACCTTTTAGTGCAACACAGTTCACACTGGTTCTGCACTGGTCAGCTCTGAGCCCTCTTGTCACCTTTACACCGTTTTCCCCCTCCAGTAACGGGAGACTGAATCCAGGGCCTCATTCTACCACTGAACTGCACACAGTCCTTTTATAAATTTTGGAGTGGGTTCTCCCTAAATTGCCCAGGCTGGGCTCGACCTTGTGACCCTCCTGTCTCAGCCTCCAGAGTCCTGGATTATAGGCATGCGCTACTGGGCCCAGCTTATCTTTATTATCAATTACACAACACACTGACAGGTAATTTTTTTTTTTTGTACCTGGAGTTGAACTCAGGACCTCGTGCTTACCATGCAGGCGCTGTGCCACTGAGCTACATACCCGGCAAATTCGGGTAACATACAGAACAATCCGTAAGATGGTAAGCGACCCATACATCTCAACTCCATAGACTCACCCCTTGTTTCCACTACAAATGACTCACTCTCGGGCTCAGCTATCACTTTATTCTATTTTTTTAGTTGTGCTAACATTTTTTTATCCGCAGAAGAGCTGGATTCCATTTCAGCTGAACAGTATTTACGGAGCAGCTGCTCCACGCTTCCTTCTGTGCTGGTGTGTGCAGCGCGTCTGGGAGAAGTGCTGTGCACACAAAAGAAACAGAGGCTGCAGCCTTCTGGGGAGATGACACAGCCCGGGCAGGCCGGGCGACGGCGCGGAGCAGGCAGCGCAGGCAGCAGGGCCGGCGGGGCTCCTGCGGCCGGGCTGGAATGGGTCGGGCGCAGCACTGCCGGGAGCGCAGCCCCTGGAAGTCCGCTGCAAGATCGCCTTACACTCCTGCTTCAGGGCTTTCTACTGCTCCTCCACAACCTCAGGGAAAACTTCCAACTCCTTAGCCTGGCCGCCAGCGCCTCTCCTGATCTGGCTTAGCCTCCAAAAGCTTCTCCTCAATTTATGATCCGCCGGCGCTGGGCCAGGAGGCGGACAGAAAGCACAAAGACACGGCCTCCATTAGGTTTGGAGGACAGACACTGAGGAGCTAATATGCAGTGAGCGCTGTAACTGCGTTACGCGTAACGGGAGACGAGAAGCATATTAAGAAACACTTGATTCCAGCCAAGTGTGGCACCTCACGCCCATACTCCCAGCCTGAGGAAGGCTGAGGCAGGAGGATTACAAGTTCAAGTCCCACCAGGGCGATTCAGGGAGACCCTGTCTTAAAATAAAAATACACAAAAAAGGCTTTGGGCAGGTACTGAAAAGATAAATGTTGAGACGGGGAAGAAACGACTGATTCTGCTGGGCCACAGGCAGTGGTGCAGCGCTTGCCTAGCATGCACGGGGCCCTGGGCTCCATCCCCAGCCCTGCAAAAAGAAAAGAGAGAGAAACGATGGATTCCGCCCAGGAGTGGGAATGCTGGGGCCACGGCCAGCAGCAGCAAGGTCTAGGATGGTAGCTCTCCAAGGAACGAGAGGGAGGGAAAGCCAGGTCACGGGGCGGTCAGGCTATGCCTCAGGGTGGTGACGCCCAGCTGTACAGGCTCAGAAGTCGCGGGTGGGCAAGGGTGCAGCAGAGGACAGCACCCAGCCGGCCCGGTACAGGTTCACAAGCAGCAACTGCCTGCAGGTAGCACCTCCGAGAGGCTGGTGCCCTCTGCATCCTGCACCACACACGCACAGCGCCCGCTCTGCCCTGAGTTGGGTTCTGGGCACGGCGGTCCTGGCGCGCGTCTCCCGTCTGCCTTTGCTGAGGACTCGAGAAGCCAGGAGCCTCTCTGAAGGCCACACAGCTGGCCTGCAGGGCGCGAGTCCATCCCAGGACCGTCTGGCCAGAGCCCCGCTTGCCTAAGGCAGCCTTTTCATTCCTTGCCTCTATTCTAATCTAAACAGCAGCGGAAGCGTTCCACACTCTCCATAGCAGGCAAAATGGACTCAGCAAAAAACAAAGTTAAAAAAAAATCTGCCCCGCGGCACACTATTTACTTATTTTCCTATCCCAGTGCTGGAGACAGAGCCCAGACAACCTCTCACTGCCGGGCAGCACCCAGCACCCAAGCACGTTACTCATCAGAGGCAGGGCGGGGCCTCTGCTCAGGTGTGTCTGCTCCCCGAGCATCGGGACCTGAGACGCAGCCACAGGAAGCCCCGGGCTATGTCCGCGACGTGATATCCGCGACGTGATACGGAAGGTAACTCTGGGGTGAAAACCAGTGAAGGACTGGAAAAGGGAAGGAAGCGTCGAGACAACGTGTGGGGCCAGGACTACAGCAGGGACCACGGCAGGAAGGACAGGAGGGACGAAGGCCGTCAGTGGTGGCTGCGCCCCTCATCTCCGCACCGTGACACTGCCTGCGCAAGGCTGACACACACACACACACACACACCACTGGCTGAGCCCCCGGGGGCGGCAAGCCTGTGCATTTTCGGGACCTTAGCGAGGCTGCGGCCCAGGGGCTGCTCCAGGAGCGTCAAGTGGAAGGCTGGGCGGACACAGGGGAGAGTCGGGGACCCGGGACGGTCAGCCCTTAGACACAGAGCAAAAAGCAACAGCAAGGCAAGAAAGCGCCCTCGTGCGGAAGGCTGGAAGGGTTTGGGTTCCCCGCTGAAGGTGCGACCCCAAATGCCAGGGACAGAAGAGTCGCCCTCACTGGAAGCACAGGAGGTGCTCAGAAGTGGCACTGTGGCTTTCTGCTCCCGCGGATGCCCGGTGGTGGAGGTGGCCGGTTCCTCAGTGGCAGAGCACAACCTGTGCAGAGGGAGGTCCGCCACGTCTGTCACCTCAGTGGTGGCTGGATTAGCCGCACGATTAACTGCAGGAGTCACCAGTGTCCCTAAGGTCAGGCGCGGAGGGTGCGCTCTGCGCTGATCTTCTTGGAGGTGAGAACCCCGCCACTCCTGCAATCTGGGCAACGTCTAGTCCCAGAGACCCCATATTTCCTCGTGTAACGCTCACGGGAATGACAGCCGAGGGCATGCAGCCAGCCCTGTGGGCTTCGGGACGGTCCGGGGCTCTGACGGCGGCCCGTGGCTGCTCCACCACAGCGAGCGCGCGGGGCCACGCTAGACCTGAGGCCTGGGCAGGGGAGAAGAGAGCCGGGCG